GGGTTTAACAAGCAACAAGAAAGAAAAATAAAGGGAATCCTACATTTCATTCAACCCATTTAAATTGGAAAAATAATTTTTTAAAGGGGAAAACAATTCCACATTTTAATGAGTTGAAAATTACCAAATTTCCCCTTTCCAACCCCAAAAAATTAACCCTTTTGAAATGGCTGGAATTTTTTTTAATAATTTTTTTTTAAAAAGGCAATCCCAAACGGCGAAAAAGAAAACTTTAAAAATTTCCCCCAACATTTTGGGGTTTTCCACAAGTCTTTTTTTTAAATACATTCACCAAAAGTTTCCGACTCTTTTCCCCAGGAAAATACAATTGTTTCCGGGGACTCTCCAAAATTTTGGGGCCTAACCCTAAGATTAAACCATTTGTCTCCATTCACTCCTATAAAAACACACTCCCCATGCCTGCTGGAAGTCCAAGCCCCTGCACACAAACCTCCTTACCCCCCCCTCCAACCTTTCCTAGCCGACCCCTCCCCCGCCTTCCTTCCACTACAGACTGATACACTCTTGAAGCCCACTCTGTTTTGCTCCATTCTTCTACATGTCCGAACCACCTCAACAACCCTCCTCACCCCTTTGGACAACATTTTGGTAATCCCGCACTTCCTCCTAACTCCAAACTACGAATTCTCTGCATTATATTCACACCACACATTGCCTTAGGACATGACATCTCCACTGCCTCCAGCCTTCTCCTCCTGCAACATTCATCACCCAGCTTTACAAACCCATATAAGAGCATTGGTAAAAAATATACTCTTATACATTCCCCTCCAAGGACAAAGTTCTTTGTCTCCACAGACTCCTAAGTGCACCACTCAACCTTTTCCCCTCATCAATTCTATGATTCACCTCATCTTTCATAGACCCATCCGCTGACACGTCCACTCCCAAATATCTGAATACATTCACCTCCTCCATACTCTCTCCCTCCAATCTGATATCCAATCTTTCATCACCTAATCTTTTTGTTATCCTCATAACCTTACTCTTTCCTGTATTCACTTTTAATTTTCTTCTTTTGCACACCTACCAAATTCATCCACCAATCTCTGCAACTTCTCTTCAGAATCTCCAAGAGCACGGTGTCATCAGCAAAGAGCAACTGTGACAACTCTCACTTTATGTGTGATCTTTATCTTTTAACTCCACGCCTCTTGCCAAGACCCTCGCATTTACTTCTCTTACAACCCCATCTATAAATATATTAAACAACCACAGTGACATCACACATCCTTGTCTAAGGCCTACTTTTACTGGGAAATAATTTCCCTCTTTCCTACATACTCTAACTTGAGCCTCACTATCCTCGTAAAAACTCTTCACTGCTTTCAGTAAACCTACCTCCTACACCATACACCTGCAACATCTGCCACATTGCCCCCCCTATCCACCCTGTCATACGCCTTTTCCAAATCCATAAATGCCACAAAGACCTCTTTAGCCTTATCTAAATACTTATATGTTTCACTGTAAACACCTGGTTCACACACCCCCTACCTTTCCTAAAGCCTCCTTGTTCATCTGCTATCCTGTTCTCTGTCTTACTCTTAATTCTTTCAATAATAACTCTACCATACACTTTACCAGGTATACTCAACAGACTTATCCCCCTATAATTTTTGCACTCTCTTTTGTCCCCTTTGCCTTTATACAAAGGAACTATGCATGCTCTCTGCCAATCCCTAGGTACCTTACCCTCTTCCATACATTTATTAAATAACTGCACCAACCACTCCAAAACTATATCCCCACCTGCTTTTAACATTTCTATCTTTATCCCATCAATCCTGGCTGCCTTACCCCCTTTCATTTTACCTACTGCCTCACGAACTTCTCCCACACTCACAACTGGCTCTTCCTCACTCCTGCAAGATGTTATTCCTCCTTGCCCTATACACGAAATCACAGCTTCCATATCTTCATCAACATTTAACAATTCCTCAAAATATTCCCTCCATCTTCCCAATACCTCTAACTCTCCATTTAATAACTCTCCTCTCCTATTTTTAACTGACAAATCAATTTGTTCTCTAGGCTTCCTTAACTTGTTAATCTCACTCCAAAACTTTTTCTTATTTTCAACAAAATTTGTTGACAATATCTCACCCACTCTCTCATTTGCTCTCTTTTTACATTGCTTCACCACTCTCTTAACCTCTCTCTTTTTCTCCATATACTCTTCCCTCCTTGCATCACTTCTACTTTGTAAAAACTTCTCATATGCTAACTTTTTCTCCCTTACTACTCTCTTTACATCATCATTCCACCAATCGCTCCTCTTCCCTCCCACACCCACTTTTCTGTAACCACAAACTTCTGCTGAACACTTTAACACTACATTTTTAAACCTACCCCGTACCTCTTCGACCCCATTGCCTATGCTCTCATTAGCCCATCTATCCTTCAATAGCTGTTTATATCTTACCCTAACTGCCTCCTCTTTTAGTTTATAAACCTTCACCTCTCTCTTCCCTGATGCTTCTATTCTCCTTGCATCAAGTCCGGTTATATAAGATAACCGGTTTCCCTGAATCTCTTCACTAAATATTACCCTGCTCACACTCCAACAGCTCATCAGGTCCCAAATAACATTCGTCTCCATTCACTCCTATTTAACACGCTCATGCACGCTTGCTGGAAGTTCAAACCCCTCACCCACAACACCTCCTTTACCCCTTCCCTCCAACATTTTCGAGGACAACCCGTACCCCACCTTCCTTCCCCTACAGATTTATAGGCTCTCCATGTCACTCTACTTTGTTCTGTTCTCTCTAAATGACCAAATCACCTCAACAAACCCTCTTCAGCCCTCTGACTAATACTTTTATTAACTCCACACCTTCTCCTAATTTCCACACTGAATTTTCTGCATAATATTTTACACCACACATTGCCCTTAGACAGGACATCTCCACTGCCTCCAACTGCCTCCTCGCTGCAGCATTTACAACCCAAGCTTCACACCCATATAAGAGTGTTGGTACTACTATACTTTCATACATTCCCTTCTTTGCCTCCATAGATAACATTTTTTGCCTCCACATATACCTCAATGCACCACCACCACGTTAATATAGACATTTTGCTTAATCCATCTAAATACACCCCACAGTAGAATAAATTAACATAAATATGAGATGTGTTAGTCAGGCGACTTGTAGGACTTGTGGTAGCCAGGCAACTTGTAGGACTTGTGGTAGCCAGGCAACTTGAATGACTTGTGGTAGCCAGGCAACTTGTAGGACTTGTTGTAGCCAGACAACTTGTAGGACTTGTGGTAGCCAGGCAACTTGTAGGACTTGTGGTAGCCAGGCAACTTGTAGGACTTGTGGTAGCCAGGCAACTTGTAAGACTTGTAATAGCCAGGCAACTTGTAGGACTTGTGGTAGCCAGGCAACTTGTAGGACTTGTGACAAAAACCAGATGCGTTCGTCTGGTTTGTTTACATTGTGTGTGGGTGGGGTTAGAAGGGCTGCCCTTCCTGGCTACCCATACTTTCCAACTTTACTTCATACAAATAAAACTCACCTCTCACCGTACATTAAGACTACAAATATTTTAAGGTAAGTAATGTGTGTACTGTATATGCATTTTATCGCTATAGGGAGCTTTAAGCATCGTAGTATAGTATGTGTGGGTGGGGTGGCCAGGAGGGCTACCACACCTGACTTCTTAGAGTAAATACTACTCACCTTTTGCCCTATATTAAGACTACAAATATTTTGAGGTAAATAATGAGTGTACTGTGTGTGTATTTTACTTTTTAATGCCTAGTTCTATTGCAAACTTAATATATGTTAAACTTGTTATCTGGCATTTCTATGTATTTATAAATGGAAAAAATGGAGTTCTGGTTTCTGGTAAAGTCTGCTTTCTGGAAGTAGCCTGGAACCTAAACCTGCCGAAAAAGTGGGGTCCTACTGTATATCCACTCATTGTATGCAACTCAATAACTGCACAACTGTTATCATTACAATGTTTCCAAAACCTGTTTACACAAACCAACAATAAAAAAATGTTTATTACTATTGGGATATTGGCAGTTTGGAGGAATATGTTGTGTATCTTTATATGTATATGCTTCTAAACTGTTGTATTCTGAGCACCTCTGCAAAAACAGTGATTATGTTTGAGTGAGGTGAAAGTGTTGAATGATGATGAAAGTGTTGAATGATGAAAGTATTTTCTTTTTGGGGATTTTCTTTCATTTTGGGTCACCCTGCCTCAGTGGGAGACGGCCAACTTGTTAAAAAAAAATAAAAAAAAATTTAGTCTCAAGCTGTTGCAGTTCCTAGAACTGCAACAGCTTGTGGAATGTTTTCGTTGTGTGTGAGTTCTTTCTTTGTTGTGGATGTGCTGACAGCGGCATGGCTGGTATCACAATGACGTATTACCACCACCCATTACCCACCCCATCTTCCGCAACAAGCATGCTGTCTTCCCCATCACCCACATGGAAATAAGTCACTTTGTCTGACTTTGGGTTATCCTAGGTTGATGGGCGTCTGGGTAGTCCTTCTTTCTTTCCACTCATTTCTTTCTTTTTCTTTCTTTTTCTTTCTTTCTTTCTTCCTTCCTTCCTTCTGGTATCCTGGGCATTGCTTTCAGTTACAAACTCCTCACAACCATGAAATTCATCTTCACTGACACTTCCATCTGTGTTAGAGCTATCACTTGGGAAGAGAAGAGTCCCAGATTCGCCAGGGAGTCAGATATTTCTTACTGCTAGGCATGCTGAACAAGGACTACTGAAATGGTGTTCCCACAATGCACCACTGGCTCCCCGATTTTTTTTTATACTGCGCACACTGACCACGCAGACCCATTCTCTCACATGTAGGCCTACCAGCTTTCTCCCGCTAGATCTGAAGCTGCTAGAATTTTGGCGCAGTACTATGGCACCAACACTGGCTTGTAAGCCATAGTACTACGGCACTAACAATGAAAGGGTTAATGCACTAATATCTGGAGATACCTACCTCTCAGGACCAAAAGCTGTGCAATTGAAGTAAAGATGTCTGGTATCAAATGGGAAGAGCATAGGGGTGGCATATGTCAAGTCTTCACACCATGATGGCAGGGCACCACATGCTAGCACTACAGCTTCACCAACCTTCAAAAATTAAAGTTAATTTATATATAAAAGTAATTTAAAACATTTTTCAAGATAAATTAAAAGTACATAAAGAATATGAAAAAATCTATCATTTTCTTAACTAAAAGAATTTTTTCACCACAATATAATCTCTCACCAAGGAATTGTTCCTAAGAGGAAACATTCATATCATTCTTTTAACAGCTGTCTTGCCATAAGTGTACAGACAATACAATTCAGATAAGATTCTGATAATCATCCCCACCCCAAGTCCAGATAATCAGTTTCCTTGAATCCCTCCATATATGTTACCTTGTTCACACTGACACAGCAACACCATGGTATCATGCTGTGTGTCTAACGCAGCAACACCATGGTATCACACTGTGTCTGATACCTTACACTGTGTCTGATACCTTAGTAAGGAATCGTTCAAGACACTGTACACCGTGTGCGTCAGGCCCATACTGGAGTATGCAGCACCAGTTTGGAGCCCACACCGGATCAACCACATCAAGAAATTAGAGAAAGTACAAAGGTTTGCGACAAGGTTAGTTCCAGAGCTAAGGGGAATATCCCAAGAAGAAAGGTTAAGGGAAATCAGCCTGTCAACACTGGAGGACAGGAGAGTTAGAGACATGATAACAACATACAAAATACTGTGTGGAATAGACAAGGTGGACAGAGACAGGATGTTCCAGAGAGGGGACACAGAAACAAGGGTCACATTTGGAAGTTGAAGACTCAGATGAGTCATAGGGATGTTAGGAAGTATTTCTTCAGTCATAGAGTAGTCAGGAAGTGGAAAAGTCTAGCAAGTGATGTAGTGGAGGCAGGAACCATACATAGCTTTAAGACGAGGTATGATAAAGCTCACTGAGCAGGGAGAGAGAGGACCTAGTAGCATTCAGTGAAGAGGTGGGGCCAGGAGCTGAGTCTCAACTCCTGCAACTACAATTAGGTGAGTACAGTAACACCATGGTATCATGCTGTGCCTGACACAGCAACACCATGGTATATTCATAAAAAGATCATCAACAACTTTGTTGCTAAACCACTAGTTATGTGTTTGTTCTGAGGACCTGCCTAGCATGAGCCAGTAGGCTTATTACAGTACTCCTTAATTCCCATGTTCTTATCTCCTGTGATGCCATCCACATCTCACTCTTACAGTACAAAAGGCTGCTGTCTCGTATCTCAGTTTTGCAGCGATCAAAGCTATGGAGATAAACACACGCAAAAAACTGCCCATTCAACTATCAGAACTACCCTATAAAGTGCACAAAAGTTGGTAATTCATCCAATTTTGCACAAAATTAAAAAAATTAATTTAAAGACAGAGACCAAAATAAACACTGCAGATATTCCAGGCACTAAATTAACATTCCCTTTGTTCATTAATCATGTCTTGGGCCTCTCCTTTATTGCACCTGCCCTCCATTTTAAATTCATCACTAAAAATGCAGAGAGTTACCCTATTTCTCAAATAATAAAATATAACCAGGAATAATTGGTCATTTTTTACAGCATCCCAATAACTGAATCCGACTTAGTAAACACACATAAAACAGACTGGGGAGTGTAAATGGGCCTTACCAGTCCTCAGGAAAATCATCAAGTCCAATATTTCTGCTACTCTGAGCCTGATTATACATTACTTCCAGTTTTGAAAGTTGTTTAATATCTTTATTATGCAGCCCATACCCATCCTGTGAGTGGTAGTCAAAAGAGTACAGGGGTACATAATGGGTCCAGGGACTGGGCCCCAAGTTTTGATAGCTGAACAAGGTACAAAGGAAATGAAGTCACAAGTTACAAAGGTAATGAATCATGTTAAGTAAGTAAAATTATCCACTTACATTTATACATGGTTACAATCATGAACAAATTATAAAGTAATGAGCAATTCACACATCCACATCCAGTCACAATTGTAATGAGTTATCAGTGCAAATATTGTTAGTTTTGAAACCAACCAAAGTCATCACTATATCAGTAGTATGTCTTCCATTCTACCAAATGACACCAAGAAACAGCCAATAATACCATAAAAACCATCCCAGAAAACATTACCTATTTTAAACTAAACATGAACAAGGTCGGGGTTTGTTTTTCTCATCATGCACCGCATGGGGCTGGATTTTTTTATACTGTGCACACTCACAGCACACACTCATTCTCTCATGCCTTGGCTAAAATTCACAATTCATAGCTTATCCAAGGGAGCTGAGCTCAAAACATAATTCTATGTATGCAACCCTGGCATCAATAACATAAATCTACAATGAAACAGTGAAAGGTTTAAACCAAGTATACCAACTAGAACTATTAACTACTACTAATGCTATTACCAACACTACTGAATATGCCAGGTCTCAGGACCTGCCAAGCATAAGCACATAGGCCTTCTAATGTGGTTCTTAACTCTCAAGCTGCAGATGTTCTATATTTACACCAACTGAGAAAAATGTCATTTGGCACTAAAATCAAATTTCTTCTGTTTATTAGTTATGTTTCCAGGCTTGACAAATGAATTCCATTTTGATTTTTTATTCACATAATGAATTTTTATTCACACGAAAAAATAGAAGATTTACTGCTATGCAATATTGTAATGATTGTATAAATAATATCAGTGCATTCGTGAACACACATTAGACCCACCAGCTGATGCGTACTGGACGTGTGACGTCACCTGTTCACTCTAGAACGTTGGTAAAAATCGAACATTTCCCCTATTTTTAACTCAGTTTCAAGCCATTTTCAGTACTAAATCCAATCAAGATCATCTCTATTTCTGTAATATATCTTCCATTCTATCAAATGAGACCAAGAAACCGCGAATACAACTGTAAAAAAAAAACATACAAAAAAACACCGCAGTCTCTGTTTTAATCCAAAAATAGTCGCAGTTTTTTTTCTATCGAGGGCCTGGTCCCAAATTTGCACACTGCCATAACAACATACTGGAGTGAGAGATACGGGAGGAAGTGTAAAATAAACCCAGTGAGGAGAAGGGGTGTGGTGGGGACAATAAGGGAACACTGTATCAACATCTGGGGTCCCAAACTATTCAACATCTCACCAGAAGATATCAGAAACACGGCACGAACAAGTGTAGAAACCTTCAAGAGGAAACTGGACAAGTATCTTCACCAGGTGTCAGATCAACCAGGCTGTGACGGATATGTGGGGCATTGGACCTCCAGTAGCAACAGCCTGGTTGACCAGGCAAGCACCAGATGAGCCTGGCCCATGGCCTGGCTCTGATAGTGAAACTCTCGAAACTCTTCAAAGGTATATCAAAGGTAAAGTATGCACTGCGTGCTGCAGGATTTGTTTTATGTGGTGCACACTTATTGCACAGATGTATGTTCTCATATCTAGGCCCAAATTTACCGATCACAGCTTATCTAAGTGAGCTGAGCTCATAGCGTAGAACTATGGCTTGAACCATGGCTTCAAAGCCGAAGAACTATGGGACAGATGTTCAAAGGGTTAATGAGGTATGCCTGTAGTACTAATATTTTATAAATAATGACAACTTTTTTTTTTTTTTTTTCCAACAAGTCGGCCGTCTCCCACCAATGCAGGGTGACTCAAAAAAGAAAGAAAATCCCCAAAAAGAGAATACTTTCATCATCATTCAACACTTTCACCACACTCGCACATTATCACTTATCACTAATACTGATACTAATACTTTTCACTAATACTGATACAATAAAAATAGCCAATACCTGATGATACGAATACTTTGGTGCTCCCAACCAGACACATGACAAGATGACAAAAATGAGGCTATCTTAGAACAAGAATTTTGTAACTATCCTTAATTACAATGATTAAATGAAACTCTTATCCCATCTTACCCCACAGACCCTTGCCACTATAAACACTGACTCACAAACTCTCACAAGCACCAAGAGGTACACAGAAATGACTATGTCATTTGACACAATAAATGATCAAACTTTAATTTATAATTCATAACTGTGTGTAAAGGTAGAAAGTTGAAAGTGAACATAGAAAAGAGTAATGTGATGAGAGTATCAAATGATTTAGATAAAGAAAAACTGGATATCAAATTGTGGAGGAGGAGTATGGAAGAAGTGAATGTTTTCAGATATTTGGGAGTTGACGTGTCAGCGGATGGATTTATGAAGAATGAGGTTAATCATAAAATTGATGAAGGAAAAAAGGTGAGTGGTGCATTGAGGTATATGTGGAGGCAAAAAATGTTATCTATGGAGGCAAAGAAGGGAATGTATGAAAGTATAGTAGTACCAACACTCTTATATGGGTGTGAAGCTTGGCTTGTAAATGCTGCAGCGAGGAGGTGGTTGGAGGGAGTGGAGATGTCCTGTCTAAGGGCAATGTGTGGTGTAAATATTATGCAGAAAATTCGGAGTGTGGAAATTAGAGAAGATGTGTTAATAAAAGTATTAGTCAGAGGGCTGAAGAGGGTTTGTTAGAGGTGGTATGGTCATTTAGAGAGAATGGATGAAAGCAGAATGACATGGAGAGCATATAAATCTGTAGGGGAAGGAAGGCGAGGTAGGGGTCGTCTTCGAAAAGGTTGGAGGGAGGGGGTAAAGGAAGTGTTGTGGGCGAGGGGTTTGGACTTCCAGCAAGCGTGCGTGAGCGAGTTAGATAGGAGTGAATGGAGACAAATGGTATTTGAGACCTGACAAGCTGTTGGAGTGTGAGCAAGGTAATATTTAGTGAAGGGAGTCAGGGAAACCGGTTATTTTATATAACTGGACTTCAGTACTGGAAATGGGAAGTACAATGCCTGCACTTTAAAGGAGGGGTTTGGGATATTGGCAGTTTGGAGGGATATGTTGTGTATCTTTATATGTGTGCTTCTAAACTGTTGTATTCTGAGCACCTCTGCAAAAACAGTGATAATGTGTGAGTGTGGTGAAAGTGTTGAATGATGATGAAAGTATTTTCTTTTTGGGGATTTTCTTTCTTTTTTGGGTCACCCTGCCTCGGTGGGGACGGCCGACTTGTTGGAAAAAAAAAAAAAAATTATTAATAGCCATTCAGTCTGGAGCTATCAAAATTTTACTCAAGTAAATGCTTTAGGCTAAATCTATCGTTGAGTGTTACAACAATTTATCATCCTTATCATCTCTCTTCCTGTCCCTAGCCAGATAAAAAATGTACAATTTTCCTAACACCTTCTATTATCTAAACTTTTTAAATGTCAAAACCCAATAGACCCCACAAATATTTTCTAGAGTACTATACAGGGTTTTTATGTCACCTGTTGGACTGTTTGTTACCGACTTTTTTTGTTTCAAATAAACACGACGAACCCCAAATGCTCTAAAAATGACCAGATTTATCTTAAAAAAATTTAAAAAACAATTTTCCATAAAATAAATAGCAATCAGTCAAAAATTTTATTAAAGGTTCCCCAATGATACACCCTTACAGACAATTCAAAACTTTTGAGGGGAAAATTTGAAAACTTCCTCAAAAAAATTTTAAATTTTAAAAAAATTATAGGAAACACAGAAACTAACCTTTATCTTCATGAGCTAATATATACAATTGTCGTAGGAGTTGCAACACATCTTCAACAGATGGATCACCCGTTGTCAAGGTACTGGTAGGCAAGGCTGAACTGCCAGATGCCTCAGTCAAAATATTTGTTCGGGAATTACGACGATTAAGTAGCTGAACACTAGAAAATTCTCCTTCAGAACTCTCATCTTCTCTTGCCTCTCCATATACAAGCCTGTTTTAAAGAAAGTTCACCACATTTATATTTTAATTAAATATTTTATTTATTAATTTCTGTGCTTGTTTTTAATTCCCTACTCATTTTATGCAAGTGTGGAGGGCTCATGTTTGTGTGGCCAAAACCTACAGACTTAATTAATAATTACAATGAATGGTGAGAGTTAGAGGAGCCGGAGGCAACTGCACTCAGTGCCTGATCAAGGCTGAAGCAGATATAACCCTGGCCTGAAAGAGCCCTCACCACAGCACTCGCCTCTACCTTCACTACATTATGCTTTGTATGGTGTTGCCAGATGTCTACCCAACAAACTGTTGTACTCCACACATCCAATGGAGAACAGCAATGTATGCAGCTAGACCACCAGTAATTCTGCCATCATTAAGCAGCTGCCACTGGTGGTACAGTTCCAGGAGCTTCTCCCTCCCCAAATTTTCCATTGCAGAATAACAAGTTTTGAGTGAAAAAGAGTACAGCCTCTCCTCACTTAACAATGGTGTTCTGTTCCTAATACCATGCTGATAAACGAATTCATTGCTAAATGAGGAGCATACTATAATGGTAGTGGGTTTATGTCAACCATCTTCGATATTGCTTTACTGTCACCCTTGCACCATTTATAACATTTTTAGTATATTTTAAAATGTTTATACAGTAGTGTACTGTATACTGTATATATAGAGGAAATCAGCTCTAATATACATTATTTAGCTAAGCATACTGGTCAGAGCCCATCGTAAGTCTGAGTCATCGGTAAACGAATACGTCACTAAGTGAGGAGAGGCTTCCTAATTAGGTAAAGACTAAGCAGTGCATGGTTTCTGCCACCTCACCAGACAGCTTCTATGTTTTGGTGGCAAACTGAGTTTCACAAGTAAATGAGGTATGACATTCCAGTTGGGTCATGCAGGGATCCAATTATGAAGAAATGTATTTTTCAAATAACAAGTGCTATTTTTCATCATGAAATTTTGACACACCTACAATGCAAATTGTTAAAATATACATAAAGTTCTTTAAAGAGCTTCACATACTTTCTAAGATACAGTGGTACCTTGAGATACGAACAGCTCAAAACTCAAACAATTATGTAAGTGTATTTTTGGGGGTCTGAAATAAATTAATCTAATTTACATTATTCCTTATGGGAACAAATTCATTCGGTATCGGCACTCAAACGAATTAAGTTCGTATCCCGAGGTACCGCTGTACTTATGAAATCTCTAATCAAAGTATGTACTGGATAATAGATGAACACTGTTATGGGTTTAATTTACTGCCCTACCCTACAAGTATGTTTGCAGGCTAACTGCTAGTACTGCTTCTGACCAGTTTTACAGAATTTTTGACACCAGACCAGGCCTTTAACTTTCTCCCCATTTTCTTACCCAGTTCCTGCTTGAAAACAAACCAGGACAGAACAAAACTGCCTAAAGTTTTCCCCCTAAAATGTGGGTTATTTGTTAAATGTTTGTAATCTTCCATTGATACTGGAGGCTTCCATTAATAATATGAACTATATAATGCCAAGTGTAGTCTTACGTGTATGTAGGCTCCCATATTCGTCGCAATCTTTCTTGTCGGGAAGGAAAGTTGGCAGCATGAACCAAAGTCTGGACGGCAGCAAAGATTGTCGAGGTTTTCTTTGTTATTGGTATTTCAACTTCAGGAATCCCAGGGAGGTTAGGACCACGCAGGGTTAAACTAAGTCGAGGGCCACTTGCTACTTCACTAGGGGTATCACATAAATGCTCTTCTGTACCAGGGGCTGTAATCTCCAAATCTAAAAATAGAGTTAAACATTATAAATTTGACTATCCTGAAACATGCCATGTGTATATTGCATAATATTAGTTATTAAGTCTTTGTCACTAGTACTGTGAACCCTCGAATTTCATCATCCCTTTTCTGCATGTAAAACTATACGTAGTTATTCTCTACAAAATGCTTTTTTTTTTGTTATCTATGGAGGCAAAGAAGGGAATGTATGAAAGTATAGTAGTACCAACACTCTTATATGGGTGTGAAGCTTGGCTTGTAAATGCTGCAGCGAGGAGACGGTTGGAGGCAGTGGAGATGTCCTGTCTAAGGGCAATGTGTGGTGTAAATATTATGCAGAAAATTCAGAGTGTGGAAATTAGGACAAGGTGTGGAGTTAATAAAAGTATTAATCAGAGGGCTGAAGAGGGGTTGTTGAGGTAGTTTGGTCATTTAGAGAGAATGGATCAAAGTAGAATGACATGGAGAGCGTGTAAATCTGTAGGGAAAGGAAGGTGGGGTAGGGGTCCTCCTGGAAAAGGTTGGAAGGAAGGGGTAAGGGAGGTTTTGTGGGCGAGGGGCTTGGACTTCCAGCAGGTGTGCACGAGTGTGTTCGATAGGAGTGAATGGAGACAAATGGTATTTGGGACCTGACGATCTGTTGGAGTGTGAGCAGGATAATATTTAGTGAAGGGATTCAGGGAAACCGGTTATTTTTATATAGCCGGACTCGAGTCCTGGAAATGGGAAGTACAATGCCTGCACTTTAAAGGAGGGGTTCGGGATATTGGCAGTTTGGAGGGATACGTTAGTGTTTCTTTATACGTATTTGCTTCTAAACTGTTGTGTTCTGAGCACCTCAGCAAAAACAGTGATTATGTGTGAGTGAGGTAAAAGTGTTGAATGATGATGAAGGTATTTTCTTTTTGGGTCACCCTGCCTCGGTGGGAGACGGCTGACTTGTTAAAAAAAAAAAAAAAAACTCTAGCATGCAAAATGATTTCTAGAGCATATTCACCAAAACATGCCACAATTTTGCAACCATGTTATAGCAAAAGCATGTTAAAAGATTTCACGTTATCTGATGACCTATTGTAACTAAATTTTTATACAAGATTTGGTTATATAAATATGCCTCTGATGAGTTCCAGGGGTTTTTCTACTCCTAGAGCCTGGCCATGGACCAGGCTAGTCTGGTGCATGTCTGGTCAACCAGGCTGTTGCTGCTGGCAGCCTGCTGGCTCACATATCCATCACGGCCTGGTTGACCTGACACCTGGCAAAGATACTTGTCCAGTTTCCTCTTGAAGACTTCTACATTTGTCCTGGCAGTGTTTCTGATATCATCTAGGAAGATGTTGAATAGTTTGGGGCCACAGATGTTGATACAACATTCTCTTATTGTGCCCACTGTTCCCTGCTTTTCACTTGGTTCATTTTGCACTTCCTCCCATATCTTTCACTCCTGTATGTTATGGCAGTGTCGTACATACAGTAGTGTGCATATTAACTGAGACAGTGATAAAATAAGACATTAGGAAAATTTATGTTCATTTGAAAAATACACATCGATGATATGACAGATAATTGATTTATTAAGAGATATGATGACCTTAGCCCCCTTCCTCTTTGAAGAATTTGAGTATTTTTCTGGAAATGTGGCATGGACAAAGATCCTGCTGGAAAATGCCTGCTCCATCAGGAAAGTCTATCCACAATGGGAAGCAAATGAGTTGCCTAGATTGCCTTGCATTTGTCACTATTCATAGTTCCCTCAACAATAACAAGCTATCCAGGGCCTTTAGCAGTAAAACTACCCCAAAACAACTTCTTAGGTGGGTGCTTTGGTGCTTGTTGAATATGTCCATTTTGAAGAGGTTTGCCTTTGCTCTGTCTCACTACCACTGAACTGTACTTATTCATCTGCCAATCATTCCTTATGACTGAGTGCTCACCGCAGCTGTTTTTTTCTTCATAGCAGCAGTCAACAATTGTTTCTTTACCACCTTCTGGCAGTTCTGCCAACTTCAAGGAGCTTTCATCAAACAGTTGAAGAATCAATCAACATATATGCCAGCTGAAGTCAAATCTCTCTCTGTAGATCTTTGCTGGTTTTCTTGGGATCCTTCACACTATTTCTTATAAAAACCTTGTCATCGTGAGGTGCTGTCTTATGTATTCTTCAACATCTTCCTTGACACAGCGCTCCACAATCACCAGTGTTGTTAGCTCTCTTCAGAATCTGACAAACTTTGTTAAGCTCAAATTTTTGGTGCTCTGTTTGATACTCAAATCAACAAACATGTTTTCGAAGAGCTACAATACTTGCATGCTTCATAGGTGAAACATTTATTACAAATTTCAGCAGTAATCATGAATTGAAGGAGAGAATTTGGCAAAACCATATTCACTCACGTAGAATAATTGCAGGAATAGCCTTACAGAGCAACAGCTGTTGTATCACTAACGATAGTCACAGGGTAACACCACAGCTGGATGGTTGCCAGAAGTTGGTAGCAAACTCTTCTGAAGAGAAACGAACCCAAACTACATTGACCATGCAGACCCATTCTCTCACAGGTAGATCTACCGGCTTTCTCCCGCTAGACTTCAAGCTGCTAGAATTTTGGCGTATTAATATGTCACTAACACTGGCTTGTAAGTCCTACCCATATGTCACCGACAGTGAAAGGGTTAACCCTCTGAGGGTCTGCCCCGTAGTTCTATGGCTTCAAAGCCAGGGTCCAAGCCGCAGTACTACATCATGAGCTCAGCTCACTCAGATAAGCTGTGAGTGGTAAACTTTGACCTAGATATAAGAAAATGTATCTATGTGGTAAGTGTGCACCATTTAAAACAAATCCTGCAGCACGCAGTGCATAATGAGAAAAAAAAACTGCGACAATGTTTTTAGATTAAAACGGCAACTTTGCGGTGCATTTTCGTATGGTTTTTACAGCTGTATTTGCGGTTTCTTGGTCTCATTTGATAGAATAGAGCATATATTACAGAAATAGAGATGATTTTGATTGGTTTTAGTATTGAAATTGGCTTGAAACTGAGCTCAAAGTAGCGGAAATGTTTAATTTTCGCCAATGTTTAAGAGTAAAAAATTACATCACGCATCCAGTACACATCAGCTGGTGGGTCTAATGTGCATTCACGAAAGCACTGATACTGTATTATAGTAATTCTTCTAATCCTTGGTGTGAATAAAAATACTTAATGTTAATAAAAAAAAAATGGAATTCATGTGGAAGCCAGGAAACAAAATTAATAAACAGAGGAAACATTATTTTGTGCCAGAAATGTCTGCAGTGTTTATTCAGGGTCCTATTTTGAAATTGGAATACAGTGGTCCCTCGTTTTTCGTAATTAATCCATTCCTGGAGCCGTTACTATAAACAAAATTTACAAATTACGAATCAATTTTCCCCATAAGAAATAATGTAAATACAATTAATCTGTTCCTGACACCCAGAAGTATTAAAACAAAAAAATTTTTTTACATGAAATATACATGTAGTACATAAACAATACAATGGGAAATAATGAATGAAACATTAACAGTATAACACTTACCTTTATTGGAGATTCTTCTTAGTGTATGGGAGACTGGAGGAGGAGAGAGAGTGGATTGTTTATAGTTTGGAAGGGGAATCCCCTTCCAGCAACACCTCAGGTACCAATTGCTTTTCTGGGGTTGCTTCTCTTCTCTGTTTCTTAATGCCACTAGGACCACCTTGAGAGTCACTGGAGTCCTGTCTCGCAAAATAACTGTGGAGAGAGCTCTGTTTCTGGCATCTCTTTAACACTTCCCTAAAATGGCCCAAGACTTTGTCACTGTACATGTTGCCAACCTGGCTTGCAACAACCTTGTTAGGGTGATGTTTCTCCATAAAGCTTTCCACCTTACCCCACATAGTAAAAACCTCTTTAATTTCTGAAGAAGGCACCTTCTTCCATCTCTCTTCCTCCTCCTCTGCAGCAAGATTCTGAGCTGTAATGTGTTGCTCTTCCTGCTGAAGCTCTTGCAGCTCCTCAGTGGTGAGCTCTTCGTTGTGGTCTTCCACCAATTCTTCCACATCCTCCAAACTCACATCCAACCCCATGGAACTCCCCAGTGCCACAATTGATTTTACAACAGACATAGGCTCATCAGGGTCAGTCCCAAACCCTTCAAAATCCCTCTTGTCAACACAATCTGGCCACAATTTTCTCCAGGCAGAGTTCAAAGTCCTGGTAGTCACTCCCTCCCAAGCCATACCTATAAGGGTTACGCAATGGAGGATGCTGAAGTGTTCTCTCCAAAATTCCCTTAGGGTCAAGTGAGTGCCTGTGGTCACAGTCAAGCACCTGTGAAACACTGCTTTTGTGTAGATTTTTTTAAAGTTTGCAATGACCTGCTGGTCCATGGGCTGGAGGAGAGGAGTGGTATCCGGGGGCAAGAACTTTACTGTGATGAACCCAAACTTCTCGAAAATTAGGTCATCCAAGTTTGGAGGATGAGCAGGTGCATTGTCCATTACTAGCAGGCACTTGAGATTCAATTTCTTTTCCAGGAGATACTCCTTCACACTACGGCCAAACACTTCATTGAACCACTCAACGAAAATTTCCCTCGTGACCCATGCCTTACTATTAGATTTCCAAAACACACACAATTTACTCTTCATAACATTGTTTTTCCTGAACACTCTGGGATTTTCAAAATGGTACACTAGTAATGGCTTCACTTTGAAATCCCCACTAGCATTAGCACAGAACGTTAGTGTCAGCCTGTCTTTCATAGGCTTGTGTCCTGGCACTGCCTTTTCCTCTTGTGTAATGAAGGTCCTCTTTGGCATTTTCTTCCAAAAGAGGCCTGTTTCATCACAATTGAACACTTGTTCAGGTTTCAGTCCTTCAGCCTCTATGTACTCCTGGAATTCATGCACATATTTTTCAGCCGCCTTGTGGTCCGAACTGGCAGCCTCACCATGCCTCACCACACTGTGTATGCCAGTATGGTTCTTAAATCTCTTAAACCAGCCTTTGCTGG